ATAGTACCAATAGTGTGCGAGCTTTTTCTTCCATGCCATAAGAGATTCTTCTTCTTCGATGTCCACTTGTGCTTTGGAGTTCCAATTTTCACAATTCAATTTTCTCTGTCACCAAATGCAACCATCACAAAATGAATACTTAAGAAACGTGAAATTGCGATGTAAAAGAAACGTTTAAGAGAATCCAAGTTCTTCAATTGATTTTTGCTACTTTCCGTTTACAAATCAAACACATTAAAGATCGTAACATGACATATTTTGCTACTTATCATTGAAAATTGAAATTAATCCACAAAAGATTTAAACTTTGAATAGCTAAAAGATAAAGATAAACATAAGCTAAGCATAATTTTAAAAATAAATCAAATTTTAAAATAAACTTAGATAAGAGAAAGAGAGAAAGAGATATATGTTACTGTCAGTTGCATAGTTCTTGAGTTGTTCAAAGCAAAGATGATTGGAGATCAAGCAGGGGAAGACCTTCACACCACGAGAGTTTGTTGTCGTATTTTCCACAACAGAGCTCGACCACTCGTCGTCGCGTCCTCTCACACCGGATCTTGAAACTGCTTGCCGTCCCATCGTCCTCTCTCCACAACAGAGCTCAGATCTGCTCGCCATTCTTCATCCTTTCTCCACCGGAGATCAAATCTGCTCGTGATCTCTCCCCTCCACAAAATTTCAAAGATTCGATTCAATTGGGATATTATAACATAAATAATTAAAACAAGAAAAACATAGAAAGCTAGGGATTTCAAGAACTCTTAAAAGTCAAAAATATTTTAGGAATCCGAAATACAAACCTTCATGTCGATCTTCAGTTAAGAAGGTTGACTATTGAGCTTCACTTTTTTCTCCGACTTCGATTTAGCCATGGTTTCTCCAAGCTAAATGAGGTTGGGGGTAGAAAATAAAAGGGATTGTCGCTTCTGTCGATCTCGAAATATGAGAGAAGGGATGTTGAGGAGAATCAATTTAAGGGTAGAAGAGACAATTAACACACATAAAGTGTGTCCCCAGCAACATGTGTTTGATTGTGTAATTTAAAAGTGAAAATGTGTCTTAGAGTGTAAAAATCTCAAATATAAAACATATAATTTTTATAAAAAAAAAGTTATCTTTGTAAAACATGAAAATATGTAGAAAATCTTACTTTTAAAAATGGATGAAGTATTATTGGCTAACCATAAAGGTCAGCCATTATTAGTTAATTACTGATTAATCGCCAGTCCTTAATATTCTCTCTGTTCAATTTATATGTTATTTTATATTTCTTCACATATATTAAGAAAATGATTAAATATCATGGTTTATCCCTAAACAATACATTGGTCAATTGTGTAACTAATAAAATATAACATAAAATTGAAAAACTAATAAACAAATACATAGAAAACATAAAACGATATTGAAAATGAAACAAATTTTAAAATTTATTTTTGAAACGCATTTTAAACTTTAGGATGAAAAGTAATCTGAAACGGATGAAGTACTGGATAACCTTTGACGATCGATGATTATAATCCAGTAACGGTAAATCCAGACTTATCATTAAACAACTAGTAACGGATCCAAGTAATCTAGTATCACCGTTTATCGCTTAACGGGAATTGTAGTCCCTCCGTTTTGCCCTATCTAACGATAATATTTTTTCTTTTTTTTTTTAAGTAAGGGTCAGTGATTATTGTTGGTTTAGCACTGACGATTAGTTATCGTTACTGCTCCTCATCATTGATTCAACATAAGAGGCCGAAGATTAACTATACTCTCTATTTTAAAATGTAAGTAGTTTGGATAAATGCACTAGTATGAAAATAGGTTGTTACTTTTCTAAAAATATCAGTTAATATATAAGTTCAAGTACTTACAAAAGAAACACTTACATAATACTCCCTCCGTTTCATATTAAGTGTCACTGTATATAATTTTGGGCGTTACAAAATAAGTGTCGTTTTCGGTTTTCAGTATAAAATTTATTAATTTTATTATGTAATATGTTTTTCTATTGGTTAAAATATGGTTAGGTGTATAGGTAAATGTGTTTTTATATAGGAAATATGTAAAGTGACACTTATAATGAAAGAGAGGGAGTAATATCTACTCCATCCGTTTCAAAATGATCTATGTTTTAGAAAAAAGAAAGAGTTATTTCTAAAAGATCTATGTATTATATTTTCAATGTAGATAATAATACCAAATTGTAAATTTTAAAAATATTAATTATGTATACTGAATTTTGATTGGTTAAAAATCATAGAAAATAGCTAAACACGGAAAATAGTATATTTATTACAAATTTTTACGTGTTTTTTAATAAGTGTAAAACTTCTAGAATACTCTATACATTTTTTTAAAACGGAGGGAGTAATAAATATAAAAGTTGCATTGATATGTTAAAATTATTTATATTTTGAAACAAAAATTATTCTAAAACTACTCATATTATAGAACGGAGAAGAGGTTGTTTTTTTGAAAAGATATATGAGGTTTAGCTATCAAAAATCATATAGCAATAAGTATCTTCAACACGAAGCCGGCAAGTTAATAACGTGTCTTCAAATATGGAACATGATTGTCATTGACAAGGGAGATTGCGTCCCAGAAGCAACTTCTCCAAATGTTATTGGATGAAAGTTCAAAGCATATTCATTCTAAGAATCATGCATCCTTCAAATGTAATCGTCTTTAACATGTATATATGATCGCACTAATAGTTAAGATTTTTCTCATATAATTTTCATGGATTAAGCAAGCTAAATCCCTAAATGGCGAACATAAATCATTTTATCATTTAAGCCAAAAAAAAATGAATCGTTGATGAGATTCTCAAAGGATCTGATGATTTGACATTATTAATAATTTTAAGGTTGTTTTATCAAATAATTGTTTTAATCATACAACCTCAAATAATTGATCGGTTACCTTTAATAATATTTTGAACTAATTTTAAGTGATATCTTATCAACTTCGCAACAATATACCGGGCTCTTGAACCATGTTAAGGAGCTGAGAAATTATTGAACATTGAACTTTGTTTTGCTGAGCTAGATGAAAACCCTAAAAAGGTTAATTCTCTTAACCGATGCCCATTTTAATATGGAAAACTATGAAGCTTCTTAATTAAAACTGAAACGAACTAATTCAATATATAAAATCACTTTAAACATCATTTAGTATTACGTCTAATCTTAACCGATTTGATTAGACGTTTCATCTAATACATTTCATATATTGTAATGGATGTTGTTTTAGGTTTCAAATGTTTTATATTAGTTTATTGTTAAGAATTAATTGAGGACTTGATCTATCACCTAACACGAAGGTTTGGCTAACGGATGACCTCAAACTATAGAGATGCTTTTAACCTGTATATATCTAAACTATTAGAAAAGAAATATAAATAAAAATATCCTTTAATTTTCCTCAAAAATTATAATCTTATGCCATTAGAATCAAAATACAGTAATTTTGATTAATGCAGAATTATATTTTTGTTGATCTGCTATCAATTTGTTTTTCTCCATCCCATCAAAAAGAATTTTGTTAGCATGCTATATAGTTTCCTCATCCCAACTAATTTTGACTTAATTTAATATTTTTCAATTTTTAATTGTTTTCTTATTAATTTAGACCTAAAGTTTATATGTTAAAGTATTTACTGGGTAACTAATGATGTAATCAAATATATAGCCTATTGTTAATATATAATTTTGAGTAATTAACGAGTGGCCAATGTTATTAAATTAACTTTCATATTAAAAATATATACATGATGTTTTATTTTATGTACAAATTTATCTTTCGTTTTTTATATATGTGGTAAAAAATATAAAATACATATTTGATTAAAATACATATATACAATTAAAATTGTCGACAACAAAACACATTTTAAATTAATACTACAATTTAGGTAGAAAAAAATGGCAGCACGGTATAATACATAGTTACAAATTTTGACCCGATTTTAATTGTCTAAATGATCTAACATTTATCCAATAAGAGAAATATATAACATGATGCAAAAACATGAAATAATTTATGGTATGAATAATAAACTAAAATCTAAGAAATGAAACCATTAAAATTTTGTGTTGTGAAATGTTTATGTAATTATATAAGAAAAAACACTCTTGCGGCCCGCGGGTAAAATCTAGTATATTTTTAAAAATTCAAAACATTCTTAACCGAAACTGATAATTTAATCTTTTTGGACCAAGCACAAAAGCCGGTTGTTAAATCTCTTTCCTGTACGGTTGGTGAAACTTGAACCTGGTACTTATACCCTTAGAACATAACCAGTAGAGCTAATTAATAGCTCCGGGTAACCTATACATATAAGTTGAAATTTTTTTATTGAAAAGAATAAAGTCTATCACTTTTCCAACCACCTTAAGATATATATATATATATATATATTTGGATAATGTTATCTGATCTGGTTATGAATTACTCTGTCCCATGTATATTAGCTTACTACGTTTGGAGCTCGGACGGCTAACAGTTCATATAATATAGTTTGTCAAACATTTGGTCAGTTTTTTTATTGATATGTAAAACCATACCTATAATTTTGAATATGTAGTTTACGTATCATTTAATAAATTAGTGAGATTAATGAATTCTATATTGGCCCCAAACAACTTTCAATTTTTTTAAAACGAAATTGTACCAACTCGAGTGAAGATAATAATTTCAGATAATCTTATCATATCCACATTAAATGAAATTTATCCATATAATCTGCCATAAGGTACATATATAACCTTCATTTACCGAAGATATATATTCATATAATCTGCCATATATAAGATATATATATATAACTCTCTCAAAACTCTTTATAAAGATTTTTAACATTTACACCAAAAAAACTTCTTATAAAGATAGATAATCTTCTGTCTATTTTAGCAAAGCTTTCTTTTATAATCTTTATGCGATGGTAGCTCTTAGAAATGTTTACAAACATATACGTTGTAGAATTTACAAAAAAAAAATCCCACCGATATGCCTTATATATTAATATATATGTTTTTACAAAAAAAAAATTAATATATATGTTATTTTATCAGATACACACCAAGATGTACACACATCAAGCAAATATATTCAAGATGGGTACATATATAAACACCACAATTTACAAGGATGTTTTAGCTAGAGATGATTATCATTCAGAAGCGACCCTGAAAGTTAGCCAACATGGAAATAGGAACGACGCATAATCCTTTACTCCTTAAGTCCATGTTGTTGATGTTTCCTTCTCCGAGATTCCTCATTATCGTCATATTTTGTTCATTCCCTTTTTGGATTTGAATCTGATTATCCCCCATGCCTCTCGTAGTTCTCTACAATACAATATCGAAAACATATTTACGCGTTATAAACGTTAGATATAGTGTAAAATTTACTAATACGAAAAGCTCACTTAACTTATAATCAGACAAACAACTATATAGTGATTGTATTTAATAATAAAGGACCAAGTCTGTTTATTCTGCAATATGAAATTTCTTTATCTTTTCAGTATGTGTTATAAATGAATTTAAATTCAAATTAATGAATAATTAGAACATATATGGCTGACAGAAAAGAAAAAAATATGTATGAAAGAAGAGTGGAGAGACTACCATAGCGAAACTAGAACAGACATAGTCCTCATTTTTTCTGGGATGCGTCTGAATATGTTCAACCTGACTGACCTGTTCAATACCATTCATATAAAATTGAATTTTTTTCTCTAACTACTATTAAGGGAGATACCACAAAAGGAGATTAATAAAAGACATAAGTAATTATTTGTTTATGTGTCATGATAATCAATCATATTTTACAATCTTAATTACAAAAACTTATAAAGAGTCTATAGATTTGCACCGAAAGAAAATATAAAAGAAATTTAAGAATTAAAATTCAACCATATATGGATCATGTTTTAATTGGATAGGTTACCTTAGGGCTATTAACCGGAGAGCTAGCCGTGTCCTCTAGAGAATCATCTTCACAAATCTTCTTGGTTCTTGCTTTCCCAAACTTCAACTTCACCGGAAAATTAACAGGAAAACCCTGTCCGGAAAAGGCATCAGTAGCTGCGTCTGAGACCAGAGAAGGAGAGACGTCAAGAAGCGAACAAGAACTCTTGTCTTGATGATCACTATCTTCCCGATGGGTTCTGTATTGATTCGAGAAATCGTCGAGATAAGCTGTCCATCCACTCTCTTCTTGATAATCACTAGCATGATGATGATCATGATCATCAACAACATCATCGCGATGGTCGAAAGGGGCGTGATTTTGTTCATAAGTATTACAAGAGAATGTATCCATCATGTGGAGAAAGGAGGAATAACCCAAAATAAAATGGAATAATTCTGTAAGTGGTTGTATTGGGTATATATACAGATAGAGGTCGTTAAATTTTCATGGTATTTTAAAAAGGCGAAACAAAAAAAAATTAATTGGAGAGATAATAATCGGAATCTTAATGGAGTCATCACATGGGTCCTAAAAGCCAACGACTGACTTCTGAAAAAGTGTGGCATTAAGCTATATATGTTTAGAAAATATGTTCAACATAACTCATAATTTTCTTTAGCAAGAAAAAGCATAACTCATAATTTTTGAAAAGTGATATATAAGTCGATATTTTCTTGTTTGGAAAAGAAAAATATTTGCATATGTATATAAATATGTGGAATTAAATTCTTCGACCGATCTATAAAAGTTGATAATAATAATAGTATCATATAAGCAGGACAAAAACTTTTATACATTCTTTGTTACAAAATTAGGAAATTATTAAACTTAATATTTGCATGATTTTATACTTCTCAATGATGTTTTTATCAATCGTTTTGACCCTTCAATAAGCTTAGATGTGATTTGGCCCAACTTACGTTGATTTGTATAGCCATTTATATATCATTAGTTGAGACATTGCTTTCCACCAAATTCATTTCCAAGTGAAAAAATGTTGAGTTGTATTGGTATATACTATATACTTTATGTAAAATGATTGTATGATGATCAAACAAAACGTAGACAAAACCAACAACAAACCACCGCGAGGATTAAAAAAGGAACTTTCTAAATAAAAATAAACTGATAAAGGGTTGGTCAGTGACTAAGTGTGAAAAGTAAAACAAATACTCAAATCTTCCTGATGTGGCCATCCGATTTGTACTCAAATATTCCTACTTCAAAGAATAATTAAATTGTGAAACGCAACTTGTTAAAGGGAAACTTTTATTAAATTTGTAACCGAATACAAACCAAAGTAAAGTGGGGAGGAGGAATGTTATGTTCGTTGAACTTGACTACTTTTGATATTGCGTGAGAATGGCAATGCCAAGGAAAGTAGACTTTTTTGTTTTTGTTTTATCGTGTGGCCGTTACAGAATGATGACACTTGAAACAGTTTGGATTTCGATGTGATGTGCACAAACATGTGAAAATGGAATTCGATGATGGAATGTTTGTTTCCTTATAATAATGGATCACTTTTATAAGGGAAACTTGTATAATAAGTAATAACCGTTTCTAGTTTGTTGAATAAAAAACAAAACATTTGTAGTGGTGAAATTAGTGAAGTAGCTTGTAACTTTTTGTGATTAGTATGCTGACATAGTAGTTACGCAATTGGACGAAACAACGACTTACTTCTATCAATCAAGACCTTAACTTTGAGATACAACTTGAAAATAAAATAAGAAATGAAAACATCAGTTTACGTGATCAAAGTATTTTTTTAAGAATATAAAACCATATTTATTTTATTTGCTCAAAATATTTATAAAGAATGTTATGGGGAAAACATATACTCCCTCCATACCTTAAAAGATACATATTTTAGAATAAAAATTTGTTTCTAAAAGATCAATCTTTTACATTTTTAATGCATATTTTATTAACTAATTATAAACTTCAAAAAACTTAATTTCACTAATTGATTCTTTATTGGTTTAAAATTATAGAAAAAAAATAAATACAAAAAACTATGTAAGTTTATTGTGTTTTATTAAAAAATGTGAAAAAACAGAGGGAGTATAAAAATTACAAAAGCAGAATGTTATTATTTTGTGGTTTCCTCCGGTGATTTGTGTAGCAAACCATCTGCCTTTCGGAGCAGCTTCGCTATGTCTCCTTCTGTTCTTTCCCTTATATTTTGTTCCCAAGTTTGATTACAGCAGATATTATCAGAGAAGCTTCGCTATTTCTCCTTCTGTTCTTTCCCTTATATTTTGTTCCCAAGTTTGATTACAGCAGATATTATCAGAGAAGCTTCGCTATTTCTCCTTCTGTTCTTTCCCTTATATTTTGTTCCCAAGTTTGATTACAGCAGATATTATCAGAGAAGCTTCGCTATTTCTCCTTCTGTTCTTTTCCAGAGGTGGTAACTAATTGCTTTGCGTGATCAAAACGTTTTCCCACATTTGTATCATAACTACCAATATTATTTTCTTTTATAAAAGTCCTCGAAATATTTTCATTTAAGATATTGAAAATTGGAGATTCTGATTTTTTTCCGTTTTGAAATCCTCTCACCCTAGAATAATTTGATATCTTGCCCTAAAGTCAAAGAAACACATCCTTGAGAGCTTGAACTCATTAGTTTATAGATGTGAGTAGTTAGTATTCGGTCTCAGGTTATAAAAATCAAAATCAAAAGCGAAATGGTATTTACTATTACTGGAACCAAAATTCTCCAGTGGTTGATGGAAAGCGGAAACATTACAAACAAAAAAAAAGAATAGAAAAACTTCACGATCTCTCCTCTCTTTTTTTTTTTCCTACTACTTTTCAATACCATTTTTTCTCTGTTTTCTTTCCTTTTTTTCTTGTTTTTAAAAAGAAAATATTGAAGAAAGCGGGCGAAATCTCCGCCGCATCATCTCTCCATTTCGCTTTACATACGGCTAGAAACGGTGCACCGATCAATCCCACGGCGGTGAATGAAAAATAAATCGGATTTGCTTCTTTTATATTTATATTTATATATATCTACAAATACGTTGTGGGAAGATGCTAGAAGTCGATGAGTGGTTCTCCGATAGTGAGATTCCGCTCCACTGTCCATGGTAAGTCGAAGAGCTTAGCCGTGACAAACTTGAAAATTTTATTTACGTTTATGTTGTATGAAGCACTCGAGAAGAATAGCGTCGCGTTCAACGCCTTGGCATAGGTTCTAGCCTGGCTAGCGATTGTCCATTGAAGATCAATAGGAAGCTGAATAAACTCATCAAACTTGGTTCCTACCATCACTGGAATAGCCGTCTGCATAAAAGATAATAAGCAAATAAGTGTTTTATAATTCGATTTGGATTCAAAACTATGAATCTTAAACCAATGAACAATTCAAAAAATTACATGTAACAAGAGATTATAAAGACTAAAGAGACCAAATTTGTAATGTTAGTGATATGTTTAATAATTCTCACCTGATTAAACTGTCTAGCTTGTTGATACCAGCTAATCACACTACATGATGACAAATATAAGAGGAAGTTTAGCTAAAAATGAAATGCCTAAACAGAATAATTTCTAAAGAGTAAAATTTAAACCTGTTAAGAGTGCAACGACTGGTGAGATCGAACATGAAGAGAATAGCTACAGAGTCCTTGCAAGCCATGGGGATCTGATCCCGTGATCTCTCAGCTCCTGCAAAATATGATAATTAAATTTCTAATTAAGCTTAATTACTAATCCTCCAAGACATGGTATTAACATCAGTAACATTACTTATTTGGTTGTCAAAGAAGAAGATTACCTTCTAGTTCCCAAATACTATAGGAAATGCGAGCACCTCCCATGGATAACATCTTGTCCGTACAAGTGACCCCTTCCTCCAACTCTCTCATTTCAACTTCTTTCCCTTCCCCAACGTATTTAGCCTTCATTATCAAAATCACTCATTAATATTAATATTGATATATATATATTTTTACAAGATATGAAATTCTGAAAAAAAAAAAAATCGATTTAAAAAATGACATTGAGTTCGGTCTGAACCGGACACAACTAAACTCCTTTACCACTTTGGTTTCTGATTTATGACTTTTATATGATTAAAAATATTCTTGACAGAAAATTCTTCTTTTTTTTTTCATGACTGAAAATTCGAAAATGAAAGAGACGTTGATGATTTATCTTTATCTTTGTTTATGTTGTAAACTAACCAGGAAGCAAGTTTTTCCGATCTCGGGATCTCCTAAGAGGCTGATCTTGAGAGAAACCAGATCAGAATCCGATCTCCGGTGGCCGTTATCGTGTTCATGCACCGATGTGCGGCGTATAACGGGGATGGGAGGAGGCTGAGGACGAGAGACAGAAGGAGACGGTGTGGCGAGTCGTGACAGCAACGAATATCTCCCTGCTTTTTTGGGAGAGAAAGCGACTATTCTGCTCCAGATAAGCCGCGTGAATCTACGCAGGATCAGAATCCTACGGTTCACTCTGTTCCTGAGATTGTTGAGTCGAACGATCTTTAGGCAGGACTGAGCCATTCTTGAAATTGATGATTAAAGAATCTAACGGAGAAATAAATAAGGAAGATAGAAACGAGAAGAAGAAAGAAAGCTTCAAGAAGTCAAGAAGATGTTATGATGGCCAGAGAGAAGTTGTTTGGTTCAGCTTTGGCCATAAGAAAGAGAGAGAGAAAAGGAATATACGTGAAAAGCTTCTTTAGGTTTTTTTGTGTTTCCTCATTTTTTCCCGGAAGGGACGACGACACACTTTAAAAGCTTTTTTTTTTTAATTAATTATTAACTAACATTTTAATTGAAAATTACTTTAATTAATTAATCATATTGGGGGCGATTTGAAAGTTTTTGTGTGCAACGAACTTTTCTGGTGTGAAGAGAGAGGGAGGTGGGGGATTTTTCGGATGTGATGACCACATCCATTACATTATTTTGGGCCTATGTTGACCTTTTTAATTTATGTTAACGAAAAAGACGTAGCACTCAGTCATACCTTACGTGCTTTGCATACTCTCTATGTTGATTTTTTCTACATCTATTTAGCCTCACTTTTTTGACAAATAGAAAAACTATACAATACTATAGACAAAAAAAAGAAGAAAAACTACAACATTATTTGTTTCTCAAATTGATATAGTATTCAATGTAGGATTTTATTAATAAATTTAAAGTCTTCCTGCGAGCAAAATATAATATACGTAGTCTATGGTGTTACTAGTAATTGAGCTAATTATTTTTACTGAAATAATTTTAAACATAATTGAGCTAATTATTTTTTACTGAAATAATTTTAAACATTGATTTTGATATTTTTCATCAAGCATTTTACGATTTAAAGAACGGTTTTAGATTTAGTATTATACTAAACACCAATTCTGTAAGATGAAATGTTTTTTCTGAGTCATCTATAAACCATCAAAGTTATCCAATGATCTTGTTAAAAACCATATCGAAATCTGAATTTAACGTAATGGGTTCATTTGAGCAACAAAGCATGCAATGATGATGTGTGTCTTCATGTACCCACCACATGTGAGCCATGTTTTTGTATGGATACACAGATATGGATTTCTTCCTATAATTTCGATATAATGAAACACAAGTTGAAGTTATAAAGAAAACAAGTTTAAAGATTCTCTCGACATAATCAAATATTACAAGAATAAACAAACCATATGATATTGGCGAATCAAATGCTGTTGATTTAATTCGGTTTAAAAGATGTTGGTTCAAATAATGAACTTTGGGTTAATAATTGAGATCCACGTGAATTAAAGAAACACGTAATGAACAAAAGAGCCAACTCAAAAACATGTCTCCGACCATTGTGGCACTGTTTTAGTTTATTAAATCCAAAATGCACTATCATCTAGTGGATGCTAACTTTTCGTTTCTGAATGATTTACTAAAGTTGGAGGATTACATTACACTTTCAAAATCAAAGAATTGCACCTTCTCCATCATCATTGCCAACGTTCGATACTTGCTACTTGCTAGAAATTAGAATAAGGAGTTCCATTTATTTGTAGTTCTCCTTTAAACATAGAATATGGTGTAAAAACTATCAAGCAATTTCTTATATCGCGTCAACAAAATAAACAATAAGTCGTAATTGTTGACAAATAATAAGAGAGCCTGTGTAACGTGGCGGCCATTATTGGCTTCTCCAGCTATTTACTATATTTAATTGTTTTTCTGTTTTTCTGGTTTTCTTGATTTTTTTAGTGATTCTGATACTTTTTTGCGTGTTAATTTCTCTCTTTTTTCATGGAAGAAAAATGACATTTATGTCATCTAGTAATTAACAAGTATTTTTCTTTCATAATGTGTTTCAAAGATCTTATTATGGATTTCTGTTAATGTGTAGGGAATTTAGTATTCGCCATTAACTATCAACAGAATAAAAAGTCTCCTTACTGATTTTTGACAAGAAAAAAAAAATTACTATGTGGAGAAAAGAAAACTAGCATGTCTACTAGTACTGAGGTATAAGAACTCCAGATTTTGTAGTGTCTCAACGCAAACAAACTGGGCTCATTTTACATGTGAGTACTTTTCAATACTAAATTTCAGTTATCTTAGGCCTATAATACATGGCCCAGTTTTGAATCTGGTCATTTTATGGAAAACTAGTTCTTGTTTTGCAAGAGAGCTAGTTCCTTCTTTTTAAAACCTAAATCAGACTATTCCATATAGGGATGTCAAAATGAGCTACAGCTCATGAGTTAGCCCATCTCAGCTCAATTTTTCTTGAACATGATCTAAGTGGGGGTTATTGGTTCTAGTATTTTATAGATTTAGAAATGCTTTTTGGATTTTGAAACTTTTAACAAATCCACACATTTTAGAATCAAATACGTAGATTTCAGAATCAAGGAAATAGATTTCAAAATCAATATAATTGAATTATTAGAAATCAATGAAATGGATTTGTGATAAACTCAGCTTTGTAACAAAATAAAAAATATATAAAACTACAACATATGGTTTATCATTTTCTATATCTTATGTTATTATGATAACATTAAATACCTCACATACTTGTTATTATTGTCGTTCTCACTTGATTGACATATTCTATTTGTTAATTTTCAGTTCCAGTAACTTCCTCAAGATCTTCTTCTTCTTAAAAACCTTTTTATTTAGAAAAATTATCGATTCATCAGAACTTTTAAAAAAGACTACTCGTAAACCAACACACAAATATTTTCTCCGTTTGTGTCTTATAAGGAAAAGGGGATGCACACTAAAAATTAAAAATCAAGATTTGAATATATCAAAAATTCTTTCGATAACATTTCTCAGAAAAATATGATGATGGTAAACAACTCTTTGTCATTTTATGGAGTAGAATCTCCACAAAACATTTGTAGACGAAAACTCTTATGAGAGATTTTCGGTAAATTTTTATATTAATGTCTACGTGTACGTAAAGCTAAGTTAGAGATGGTTGGTTAATATATTAGTATTTGCTTATTATTAAGGAAACATGGACAATATGTATGAAAAACTTGGGGCAAAAAAAAATTATCAAGAAAATCAGTAATACACTATCAAAATAACAAGGTTCAACTCAATATTTGCTTCTTTGTATTTTTAACTCATAAATCCACGCAAATCTATTTTAAAATCAAATCCTCAAGAAAATCATTATTATTGAATAACGCCTGATTTTAAAATCATAGCACCAATAACAATGAATTTGAATATAGATTTTAAAATCATAGAACCAATAACAATGAATTTGAATAGGGATTTTAAAATCATAGAACCAATAACATTATATTTGATTTGTATTTTCAAATCCACTAAAGTATACAAAGCAATAACACCCTCTAAGTTTCTGAGTTCATTTAATAAATGAATTTAATGATCGAGCTTAAAATAGATCACGAATTATATGATCGATCTTTAATGATCATGAACTAATTTATGAGTTTGGTCATTTTTATATTGATAGATATATATTTATATTTTTCTTATGTAAAAAAGATAATTTCTATATTAATCATAATAATATTGTAAAGTTAAAATGTAAAACAAAAAACTATAAATATACAAAAATGTAGAAGAATATTGATATCAATCCTCACATCATATATCTTTAGAATTAAAACCTAAAACAAAATATTCCTAAGATTCTCATTCAAAATATATATCTTTATAAATTTGAATAGAAGAAGATTTTGAACATGAATCATCTCAAGACTCTTATGTGGAATAGATTTTCAGATCGTTGACTTAGTTTTCATTTAATTGATTATTAATTTTTATATTTACATAGTATTTAATATTAATGTTTTGGGTTAATTTTGAATATGAAAACTATTTTATTTTATTATTATTTTTATAATTTAATTTTTATATTTGATCGTGAGTTAACTCACTTAATTCATAATTTGGATGATCTGAGTTTGAGTTTACATATTGAAACTCATATAATAAATGAACTGAGTTGAGTTAGCTCATGAAATATTCAAAATCATTATGAGCTGAGCTGTGTTGAGCGAGTTAGCTCATTTTGACAACCCTAATCCCATATAACCGATGAATTCAATTTGTTCACTGGATACCCAACTTACATCGACTTGCATTAGTCGGGGACCGCAAATGATCCATGTCCACATGTAAAATCAACAAATTTAAATGCCATGATCAACCTTTAAATGGTTAACTATATGAAATGAAAAACAACAATGAAAATGAAATGTTTCAAAAATTTTTTAATGAAAAGTATCTTGCATTGGCATCAAAGTTAAAGTAAAATTCAAAGAGAATCTCAATAGGCATTTTGAGAATGTAGTACCATTCTACATTAACTTTCGCAACAAACATGACATTTCGAAGAATCAATTGTTAGTATGTAATCGAGAACCATAGGCGGTTTGATTGTCAGTTTATAGTGTTAAGAAGGGTATGGTGGAGCATCTGTGTGTACTGATAAAATATAGTTGTTTCACAAAATCAATTCGGCTCAATTATACATGTAACTCAGGCAGTAATTTCATGTATTTTCTTACGCTGAAATAATAATGCAAATTGCTTTTTTCCTAACACAATGTCGAATGATGAGATGGATTGATCCGTTTGCTCTTCACTAGTATCCGGTTTCATTTTATTTGCTTTCGCCTGGTATTGTTTTACAAACCTACAAACTCTATCAAAACAACCTATAATCTTTAACTGACTTGATTAAAAGTAAAATACTCCATAAAATATGATGTAGTATAAAGGAAAAATTCCATAAAAATACTCCAACTAAATTTCGTTAAATTTTTTAATACCAAAACTTTTATACTACTCAATTTAATACCCAAACTAATTATTTTACCCATTTTAATATACAAACTCTTATAATTGTACTCATTTTAATACCCAAATGTTATTTATTTTAATTAGCAATACTTCTAAGTTTCAAACGAAATTTAAAGAAATCTCTGAAATCTAAGAATTTTTTTAAACTTTTTACTTAAAAAATAAGAAAAAGGTAAATAAACTCTAGAGAAGATTTTTAAAATTAATTTTGAAGGAAAGCGAACTAATTTATTTTTATTATAGAAAACAAACTAATATCAATACTTAAAACTTTAAAACTTATTACAAAATTTAAGATTATAAAAAAATTATTTACTTTCATCTCTCAAATATAAAATACAATTAGAATTTTCTGTAAAGCTTAGAGATTTTAAAATTTTTATTTGAAACTTATTAATATTTTTTATCAAAATAAACAAAGTTCGGGTATTTAATGGATACAGTTATAAAAGTTTGTATATTAAAATGAGCAAAATAATTAGCTGGAGTATTAAACTGGATAGTAAAAAATTTTAAGTATTAAAATGCTTAACGAAATTTAGTTAGGGTATTTTTATGGAATTTTTCCTGGTAAAAATATTGGTTAATTAGACCCATTAATAGAACACATTAGTAATTGTGTTAAACATATAATATCAGGTCAATCACCTTTAAACTCAATATTTTCTCTTTACCAAGTTCTATTAACTAAGCACATTAACTAAATAAAACTAAATTATATATAGTGTGGCATAATGTAATCATCAGTCAACAAGTCACAATAATCAGTTTCTTAAATTTGCATTTTCTTTATCATTCTATATAACTTGTTATTATGAATATCATACTAACCATAGGTTGAGACGTTGAGTCAATAATGTTCAAGTAATTAATAATTTAGTTTGACATACAAGATACATCAGCTAATTGTTATTTGTTTTAAGCAAGCACATAAATTAATGAAAGCTTAGATCGAATTATAGAGGCCGATAATATCCATGTCCTATTGTACCAGCTCACCGGTTAACTTGAGCATTTGAACCGGTTTTTAAATTTAAAACGATGAATCCCATCGTTTCATTCGGGAACGACTTCTAGTTTCTTGTTGCTCCATTTGTCCAACCTTTTAGAAGCCTCTTCCACCTAAAGCAAACATTATATCGGATTATTCCTGAAGTGTATCAAATCAATGAAGTATAGGTGCATATACGTAGGAAAACCCAAACTTACTTCTTTTGTCCAGTCTGTTCGAAACGTTACCCATGCTAAAATAACCGTTTGTATAAGAGTTCCACATATCATTCCCGTCCATATACCCTTAAATATTAAGAAATTAAACTTTATAATTAGTCTCACTGATAAATATGAATGGTAAGTATTAGAATTTTGAATTGAAACGTAAGAGGGCTATCTTGCCTTGGCATCGAACTTAAAGTAAAACCCAAAGAGAGCCCCAAGAGGAATTCCGATAATGTAGTAACATCCAACGTTAACTTTCGCCACAAACGTTTGCCAACCGCATCCAACCGCCACACCTACAATGTCCGACTTGTTTTTTTTTGAGAAAACAAAATTTTCTCTATTTCGGTTTGTGAAATTGTGATGTTATAAAACAAAAATCTTTTACCGGAAAGGACGGGTTGGATTCCATTTAGGACAAGCGTTAAGGCAAGAAGCGGACAAAGATCAGAAACTGCGGCAGATACTTCTTCACCCTCGGTGAAAGCATAGCTCAAGACATCACGGAACGCCAGAATCACAATAGCTAAGATCACACATGTGATTAACGAATAAATGTTGACGATGATAACCGAAAACGATGCTGATTTAGGGTTTCCCGCTCCAAGTTCGTTGCTCACTCTTACACTGGATCAACAACATCAATAACACCGATTTTTACACACTCGAATTTAATTGGAAATTAATAATGATGAGAGCTCAGTGTGATTTAGCATATGTAAGTTGGTGTAAAATATAAGAGTTTTAAAGTAAAAAAAATGAGTTTATATACTTTTAGGGGAATAACTTGGGTAGAGACATTCTGAATTTTTAACTTGAGAAATCCACATACCTTATCGCAGCATTAAATCCAACAGATATCATGAACACCCATCCTGAAATCGTCATGCTGAACACACAAAAAAACAAATATTTTAATTTCGTAAGAAATGAGCAAGAATATAGTAATAAAAATGTTGCTTATGTCGTCATACAACACTAAAATATATCAAGATTTGGAAAATTTTATATAAATACCCAAATTTGATTTTATTGAACATTTTAACAATCAAATTTTTTCGTTATCCAGTTTAATATCCAACTAATTTTTTTTGTTCATTTTAATACACAAACTTTTAAAGACGGAGGAATTTTAATAACAAAATTTTATTTATTTTAATAAAATTACTAATAATTTTTAAATGAAATTAAAAAAATCTCTAAAATATAAGAAAAGATATTAAAGATTTCACATTTTATTTTTTTGGAAAGAAGGTAAAATAATTAGCGACAAAATTGTAAATTTTAAAATTGAATTTCGAAGGAAAAATAAATAAATTTTCTTCTATTTTAGAAACTAAACTAAATTCAATATTTTACACTTCGTTTTTTTGCAAAATTTAAGATTAGAAACAGTTTATTTACTTTTATTTCTCAAACTGCAAATAAAATGATAATTTTCTGAGATTTTTTGTATATTTTAGAGATTTTTAAAATTTTGTTTGAAATTAGTTAGTATTTTTAATTAAAATAAATAAATTAAGTATTAAAGTAGGTATAATTTTAAAATTTTATATATTAAAATACTAAAACTAATTATTTGAATATTAAACTGAGTAATAAAAAATTGGATATTAAAAGGTTTATCGAAGTTAAGTTGAGATATTTTCATAGAATTTTCCCTTTCACTTATATTTGTCTAGTGTCTACATCTAAACTCGATATATTCTATTAGTGCAATAAAAGGAAGAGAATTCTATCTTGATTTGGTTCGAGTACCTATGTTTGGTGGCTTCATCCGTTTGGTGAGAAAACAAAAATTTGGGACATTAAAAAGTTAAAAATCAAGTAGGAGTCCCCCTCCCCTCCCCAGTAAGCACTAACCTATCTAATTAGTGAAATAATATTGTATAATATCCTGAAACAAAATAAAGGAGATGATGCAGAGTTCTTTATCCGTTAATTGGACGAAGAAATGATGTTTTCTTCAGCAGGTAACTTTAAAAGAAAAATTCTAAGGAATTTTTAAAATTATATATATTTAAATGCTCACACAGGATTTACAAAGTTAAATACTAATATACAAGAAGAAGACAACAAGAGGGGAAACGTGATGTGACTGTAAATTATGTTTGTTGCAGAAGAAAGAGTCAAAAGTTATTCGTCACTTTTTTATGTCTCGCCACTAACATGGCTTTCAAATCATAGCTACAAGCCTACAACCAAACTTCGTTTTGAACTCCAACGCAAATTTTTGTTCTGTGCTTTCCGTAACGAATGACGATACTAAAAATGTTATCAAATGATTTTAGAAACCATTCATCAGAAAAGTTTTTATAACCCATACGTTTCGAATCAAAAGATAAAATTAAAATTATGTATTTACTAAAACTATTTTGTTTTAATGAAGAGACGAAAAAGCAATATTATTGACAATTTGGTTTTTATGACAACATAATTGTCATTTTGTTCAGAGGAATTTTTTTTTTTTTATGTTATTCTCTATCTATAACTGTTAAAAAGTAAAGAATAAAAACTAAAATATGTAAACTAATTCTTTTAACGAAATTACGAGTCAAATATTTGTTTAAGGAAAGGTATATTTTTAGAAAAATACTTACCAAATGGATAGAGAATCAAGAGCAAGCTCCGGATTCTCGAGAAGTCCGGCGAGGAGAACGAGAATCTGAAAATACCAAGTCTCAAGGCAGAGCATCACGGCTGAGGCGGCGGAGAGTTTAAAAAAACTCGGTAACCCCGAGAACGCCTGAACACTAAACCCTCTCCACGTCTCACGACACCGTTCACTCGTCACTATATAAACAAACTGAGCCACCACTATAATCCACCACGAGAGGCTGAGCACGAGCGACGCTCCAAGAAGCCCCATGCCAAGCTTGTATATAGCAAGCCAGCTTAAGAGAAGGTGAACAAAGAGAGTGGCTGTTGAGATGTAAGCACTCGGAGCAACGATGCTTTGGGCCTGTAGGAACTTTTGGATCGGGAAGTTCACGGCGTAGGCAAAGATTTGAGGTATTAGGCCGTAGACAAAGATAGATGCGGCGGAAGCTATTTCCGGTGACTCTCCGAGGAAAAGCAAAATGGGTTTGGAGAAAACGTAGATTAACGTTAGGAGAACGCCGGTGAGAGTGAGCAACACGGTGGATCTTTGGAGATAAACGCCAAGCATCTCGTATTTTCCACCTCCAAACGCTTGACCACATAACGTTTCTACCGCACTACCCATTCCTAGCTAAGAATTATCCAAAAAAACAAAAATTATCACAAAAACACATACACATGCAAAACAGAACATAAAGACATGTATAGATGAGGACACTTATGTTTTTGTTTTACCATTAGACCGTAGGCGAAGATCTGGATCCCAGTGTTACCAAGAGAAGCTGCAGCGAGTTCTAGGTTTCCTAGGTGGCCGGAGAAGATTTGAGTGGACATGGACATAAGGTAGTTTATCATGTACACGATAACCGCAGGTGCAGCAAGTTTGAAGAGCAGTTTTGATTCAATCATCGTGG